GCAATAGAACTGTTGCTCGGTAGCGCAGCAACTTTCAAATGGTGGAGAGACGTGAGACCCCCTCCAGCAGCTGAGGCAGCTCTCAGACGGAGAGATCTGAACTAAGGAAACCTGCAGGCAGCTGGGGCTGTATTAAATTTTTACCATTTGGAGTTAATTTAAACTCTCGTTTCTCTCTCTCCAATGGGTGTGAGAGAAACATTCAACAATTTTTATTTAAGGAAAATAGATGGTGGTGCCATTAAAAGTTTTATATAAGAGCTGAGGGTTTAAAAAAAAAATCCTAAGGGGTTGTTGGATAGATCCTGGCCCTGCTCCAAGACATGAGTAGCCCTGCCCTTTGCTCTCACGTCGTTTTGTCAAATCGAGCAATAGCTAACGCCCAGCTGGGAGGACGAGGTGTCTTTGCTAGTGATGTTAATTTCCCATCGTTCTCTGGGGTTGTGGCACCCGGTACACTGCAATACAGACACAACGCTCCTGGAGTTCTCTAGTTCCTCCTGGAGATCAGCCAGATCAGATCATGTGGGCAGATCAGTTCCTTGGCTTCTCTCATAGAGCTGCCTAGTACAGCCTCTCCAAGCACGGACCCTTCCTCGCTGCCCCTCTGAGTGCCCTCAAGATACCTAGTAGTCTACCAGCCCATCCCGGGCATGTGGGCAACCGGAACCGAGTCACCTCTAACCCAGAAATGACTTCTCTGACACTAGAAAGGCTCATCTGTGGAGAAACGCATGCCTTGAGCAGGGTCCCCTCCCTGGCATCACTGCACAGATGGAGAATGATCGTGTTGGTCCATCTAATTGAAAAAAGGAAGCCATTGAAGGGGTGAACTTGAGACACTCAGAAGTTTTTCAGAAAACACAGTAAATGGCAGCTGAGAAACATGTTAAATCTAAGAAAGTGCTGTGTTGGAAAGATGGCATCCATTGAAAATGATCTGGAGATGGGACACATGTCCAGGCTGCCAAGGCCAAAGTGACCTGGTATCCAGGCCAGCACCCTCTCCCCCGCTTCCACCCCGAGGCAAAACACCCCTGTGGTGGTCTTTCAGAAATAAGTCATTTTGAAGGAAAACAGCTGCTAGGCTTCCTTGCCACAAGCAAAAGACCTGCCGGCATTACACACGATGCCATGGTACCCTCTGAAAGCACTTACTATTATTTATAGTGGTGGGCATCGTGCACATCTCAGCACAGGGCTGACTTTTTACAGGCAACAGGGAGACACCGTGTCAGACAGGGTCCTACTTTCTGCAGGCCAATCCTGTGAAGACCACACAGAAGTAGATCTCTGTCATGAGAACCACTCAAATACTCTTCTGTATCTCTTCCCTAGATGAAAGCCAACTAGCGTGTGAGACTGTTGTGGGAGATTATATCTGAGTTGTTCCCACTGTATCTCCTGCACTTAAGCTGCACAGGTGTAAACAGGAGCATCAAAGTCTAGGCCAGCCTGGGCCAAAATTCAAAATCATATTCAAAAAACTAACTAAAGCAGAAAGGACTGGCAACGTGGCTCAAGTGGTAGTGTGCTCGCCTAGCAAGTGTGAGGCGCCGAGTTCAAACACCCCAAAACACTTGAGCTGAATCTATTCAGACTTGGGGAATCCATTTAATATAATGATTTGTGTCTTTGTTCCATTGTTTTTTGGAAAAAGTTCAGATTATGCCAGTCTTGAGAGAGGAAGGGAGGGCTTTCTTGAATTCATGATTGTATTAGAAGCATTTGCAGTTCTATTTTGCAGATTAAAATTTCCATAAAAGAATCATTTAGCTGGATGCCCATGGCTCGCCTAGCACTCAAGATGCTGAGGACTATAGTTCAAAGCCAGTTCAGGAAAGAAAGTCTGTGAGATTCTTACCTCTAATTAATCACACACACACACACACACACACACACACACACACACACACACACACACACACACACACACACACACACACACACACACACACACACGCGCCAGAAGTGTGGCTCAAAAGCTAGAGCACTAGCCTTGCGCATAAAAGCTCAGAGACAGTACCCAGGCCCGGAGTTCAAGTCCCAGGACCAGCAAAATAATAATAATAATACATAGTAATAATAATAATACTTATTTATATTAAACATGTTTGATCATATAACAAAAGTAGTAAATGAAAGTAATTGTGTTTGTGATTTAAAAATGATTGCTCTTTTCATTCGGAATTACATACTTTTGGTGTGATGGAAATTTCTGGAATCAGGTGGTAGTGACAGTTGGCTAAAAGCCACCGACTTGTACACTTTAAAGTGGCTTTTAAATGGTGGGTTGTATGGTACACAAATTAATTTTACCTCATTCTAGAAAAATGTGAAAGAAAATTGTTAATAAACACTGGTGTTAGTCTAAAAATAGTGGAATGCTAAGATCTACAAACTTTCCTTATATTTCCCTTTGTCTTTGAAAAAGTCAGGTATGTTCTGGGATGAGAAGCCGAGATCACTCAGAGATCAGCAAGGCAAACCCTTGAGCCGTGAACATCTCAAGTAGAAGGAAGGAACGGAGTAGTAGAGGCCAGCTTGCCTACATTTGCTTCACAAACCTATTTATAAAATTTGGGAGAGATAAAATGAGAATACATTCTTCTAGAAACCCTTCACATTTGTTAGAACCTTTTCAAGCCTAACCTGCTTTGAAGATGGTGAAGGAAAAGAGGGGAGAAAAAGAACAGGAGCGGCCTGCTCCTTTCCCTTGCCCACGTTTCTTCTAGGAGTGAAATTAGCTTCCATTTTCAATGTGGCAATTTGGGAATTCTTTCTAATTTCACTCTTAGGCTGTGGGCGTGGTTCAAGTGGTTAGAGCACCTGCCTACCAACAGGCAAGATCCTGAGTTCAAATCCCAGTTCTGCCCAAAAGATTCCTCTCTGGGCTACAGTCATTTCACTGGCATTGAAGACAGGACATTCTCCTGGGAACAACATTGCTGCTCAGTTCCCAAGCTTCATTGCAGTTTTGTTTGTCTTTCTATCAATCAGCAAAGGAAAGGCCTCCATCCAGGGAGAGGGCTCACCTTTTTAAAGAGAGCCTGGTAAGAATGGTGAATATGCCTATACGTATACCAAAAAGTCTCCTGGTCACAGCAAGATTGCTCGATAGCCATGATATAGTAAAGATAAATTAGTTAATAATTAATTAAAGGTTTGGGCTGGGAAGGTGGCTCAGTGGTAGAGCACTTGCCTTGCATGCATGAGGCCCTGGGTTCAATTCCTCAGCACCACATAAGCAAAAAGAAAAAAGCCGGAAGTGGCACTGTGGCTCAAGTGGTAGAGTGCTAGCCTTGAGCTGAAGCGCCCAGGCCCAGAGTTCAGGCCCCACGACCAGACCCCCCCCAAAAAAAATAATTAATTAAAGGATTTTTTTTCCAGAATAATTCTCACGGGTATGATGTGTGCTTCTTCCTTCCCACCCTCCCCTCCCCCTCCCTCCCTCCCTCTCTCCTTTCCTTTTTTTCCTTTCTCTCTCCCTCCTTTCCTTCCCTTCTTTCTTTCTTCCTTTCTTTTTCCTCAAGTGGGTAGGGAGTGAACCAAGGCCCCTCTATACTAGTTAGGTTTTCTACCACTGAACCCCATCCCCAGTCCCCTTTTAGCCACTGAGTAGCTCTGTTCCGAGTCCCTCTCAGACACCTAATTTAAGACACCTAATTGGTGGCGTATAAAATGGACAACATTTCAAGCATTGGGGGACTGGAGGCATGGTTCAAGTGGTAGAGCACCTTTCCCAGCAAGCATGCTGGAGAGAGCAAGACAGATAGAGACAGAGACAGGGACAGAGAGAGGAATAAAGTAAGAAAGAAGAAAGGAAACAAAGAGATGAAGGAAGGAAGGGAGGGAGGAAGGAAGGAAGGAAGGGAGGGAAGGAGGGAAGGAGGAAGGAAGGAAAGAAGGAAGGAAGGAAGGAAAGAAGGAAGGAAGGAAGGAAGGAAGGAAGGGAGGAAGGGAGGGAGGGAGGGAGAGAGGGAGGGATGGAGGGAGGGAGGGAGGGAGGGAGGAAGGGAGGGAGGAAAGAAGGAAAGGAGGAAGGGAGGGAATTGTTTCACAGAAGTTCACATATGCAGAAGTTAAGGAGGGCGGCAGTCAGCCTGGCCCAGTAGCTGCAACACGTCCCCCACCCATGATGGGGAGAAGAAGCTGACGCTGTCCTCCCCACAGCTGGCTTCAGGTGCCTGGAGCGTGTGGACTAGCCATCCCCAGCTCCTACCCTGCTCTGAGGGCTGTCTCTAAGTCTCAAGCCTAAGGAGCATTGCGTAACCCACTTTTCATCTTTCTGTGGAGAACGGCCTCCCCCCGCGTGTGGTGCTTGCAGTCTGGGTCCTTCAAAGCAGAGGAGAAGTCCGCCAAGCCGGGCTGCACCCTCTCCTGTCTCCAGCCCAACACGCCTTGCTTGGTGCGGTGTTTTTGTTTTTTATTAGCTCCTCAGTGCATCGGTGGCCAGGGTGATAAAATTGGTGGCAGATTTAACTGCTGGGCAGCTGGGTCACTGTCCCATGGGTCTGGTTGTCACGCTGAGGTCTTAAAGTGGCCACGGCTGCTGGGGCTGCAGCTTCCGCAGGCCGGGAGGGAGAGCACTGAATAGTTAATCGTGAGATGGGAAGGCAGAGGCTGTTGCTTACCAAAAAAAAAAAAAACAGACAAGCAGCTTTGAAAAATCCCAAGGTGGCTGAATATCAAGAACCCGGCTCCTGCTGTGGGCAGCTGCGTGTGCCCGGCAGCCTGAGGGCTTAAAATCCACTCTCCAGCATAGGTTGGTGCTCCTCCCGGGGGCTTTAGCAATAGAAGCAGAAAACCTAAACATTACAAAACGAAGAAGCCCTCCGCCCCATCGGAGCCCAGCCAGGGTGGAGGTAACCTGGGCCAGTTACCTTTTGCATTGCTGGCTGGATGGGTACGTGGGGGGAGGAGGGGGAGGAGAGACAAGAAAAGAACAAGAGTAAGAATGGTAAAACCAGATGACTTATTTAATAGTCATGGCGTCTTACCTGAAACCGTCTCATGTCCCTGGGGTTTCCCGCTGTTTTCAAACAATTCTGATTGCACTTGAGGAAAAATTTTAAAAAGAATCTGCGAAGAGAAAGCAGCGTGTTAACTTTATGGTTTTACCCCCCAGTAAACATTTCGTAAGGGCGACGCTCATCTGCACTGGATTAGGTCTGGTTTGGAACGTGATTGTATTTCAGGTGTGGGGAATGTCACCCAGCCTTCGTCTGGGAGGGACCCGGACGCCCCTGTGCCAGCCGCCAAGTTGGATGTTTTCGATCACCAACCTTTTCCATCCCCGTGCGGGGAGCTGCAAACTAGGCTCTGGTTTGTAAGCCAGTGTCTGAGTTTCTGCAGCATTCACCCTGCAAAGAGGCATCAGATACACCAGTGACCCCTGCTGTTCAGGGGGTTTTAAAATGGGAGGAAATAACCCAGAATCCCAGTCCCCCCCCACACCCCTCTACCCCTGGCTGATCCCCGCTCTCCTCAGACCACATACACCAGCAAGCTCACACCTGAAATTGGTCTGACCATGCCTTCCGATGAATCCAAACTCAGAAAACGGCAGGCTACCATTCCAAGACTCAGTCTGCTATACACATAATTAATAACAAGTGTGAATGTCCTTCCAGACCATGAAGGAATTATCCAGAAAAAAAAAACCCACAACAACAAAAAACCCCACTAATGCACAAAGGCACACATGATCATGGTGTGAGGTTATCATCTGTAAGACAGACTTGGGGAGCTCATGTTCTCATCAATGATCTGTGTGATTTTGAAAACCAGGCCCCAGGAAGCAGACAACCATATCGGCCAAGAAAAATGACCCAAGTGGTCTGTGGAGAAATTTACTTAGTTCCCGTTTTGAAATTTTGTTTTAAAAATACAATAAGTATTTTTTTTCATTTATTTCACTTGCAGAGTCCTTTCCCTTAAAAAAAAAAATCTAGCTTTTGCAGTGTTCAAGTCCCAGGTGAGCTGGGCCTATTTCCCTTCCAGTTTCTATGACAACGAAATTTTACCGCAGTCCCAAAGTCCCTTCAGAACTCTCACACCATGCCTTGAATTAGAACTTTAAAGGAAAAGATATACATTTTCTCCAGGATTTACCAACAACAACGAAAAAGAAGTACAAATCAACACTGCTTCCTTAAAAAAAAAAATCTGTTTTTAAAGCATTAGTGGTGGAAATGCTCTCACCATTGACCTTCTGTGTATTTTTATTTTTAACAATCACACAAAAGGATTCAAGAGCCTCCAATTAACTGAATGTATCACTTACCAAAAAAAAAAAAAAAAACTGATGAGAAGGTAAACAATAAGCAAGGATAGAGAAGGGAAACTGACCCAGGAACCTCTGTCTCAAAGCTCTTTTATCCTTTGTTTGCTAAAATTATTTGGCAACACACCTCTGCCCTGATCTGTGAATGAGGTTGAGTGTGAACTTGGAAGTCACAGCCACATATTTTTTTAAAGTGCTTTCTAATGTCTATGGTTTGCTTCCATCTTGTGATCTTTTAGGGGGTAGGAGAGACAGAGCACAGAAGGAAATGGGCAGCATTGATTTTGTGCAGAGTGTATACACTCACAAGCCTGCTGCAGAATTCAAGAGTACAGCGACATGTCGGCCCGTGGTCTCTGGAGTTAGAAAGGAGGACTCAAACATTTTGTTTCTAAAAGGAGCGCCTTTCCTCTATCCAGTCCTATCGGATTCCACTTTGCCACTCCCAAGGCTGGGAGATGCTCGCAGGAGATCGCTGAAACCTCGTCTTTTCTCTTGGACCCTCTTTCCAAACAATAGCCGCCCCCCACCACCACCACCATCACCATATTTCCCCTCTAACACCCTCAAAAGCAGTTTCCCCTACCAAAGCCTCAGTGTTTGTTTTCGTTTACTCCTTGGTCTCTGGAACGTCTGCCCGAACTGGACTGGTTTACGAATCATTGGTGTGTGTTCTCCTTCCCGTCCCCCCCCCCCCCCCCCCCCCCCGCACTCGCGCCTAAGATTTCTGCTGAAAACATTGATGTTCAGGAAAGCATTCTTAGGTGAATGGTGTGGCCTGGAGGAGAGTGCAAAAGAGATAAACGTTCACCTCGGATCAAACTGATTTAGGGAAACACAGAGCCTGGTGAGAGGCTTTATTCATTTTAAATTAGGATCCTTCACAGCTCTCTGGATGGAAAACACAAAGTGTTGACTCTTTTCACTTATTTCAGGGCTGAGTTTGTAACCTACAGACCCCTGCACAACCTATTCAGACTCCCTGCACACCAAGGGTTTAGCATCTGGCTCCCAATGCGGGGTAAAAAGGAGGGAGGTCGAGGGGCGTGGCCCATTTTATAATCCAATACCTAATAAACTATAACGACATAACATACAACTGCTATTTCTAAATAGCTACCACCATAAATTGTAACTTGGAATATATATACACATATAAAAGTATATATGTATATATACATGTACATATATACGCACATGTGAATATGTGCACGTACATGTGCATGTGTGTATATGTATACATATATGTACATATATATGTACACGCACATACATATACATGTGTGTGTGTGTGTGTGTGTGTGTGGTTCTAAAGATGAATGAAGGGACATTTTGGAGCTTGCCGACATGCCACTTCTGACTTTCTCTGGGTCCTGTCCACCATTCACCCGTGTGGCCTCCTCGCCGCCGTGTGCTGGGTCTTGGTGAGACGCCCTTCCCCGCCTACCCCATCTTTTAGCCACAGGCTAACGTGCAAGGAACAAATTCTCTCTGAATCCCCTGGGTCTGGATCCCTCCAAAGCTGGAGCTGCCTGGAAAATGTCAGCGCTCTCCACTCCGAAACAGAAAACCAAAATGAATTACAAGATTCAGACCAAATGTGCAGATTTCTCATCAAGATGGGAAATCTTTCCACTTTCTGCAAACAACAGTGACAACATAAATATTACAAGCACTTAGCAGGCTGCAGTGGGTGGGGCTTCGGACTGCATTCCTGAGGCGTGAGCCCTAAACCAGGGAGGTTTATCCTTGTTTTATGGGTAAGGAGGAATGGAAAGGTGGGGTCAAAATGTGAACCCCAACCAACCCACACATTCCTGTAGGTCCCCAGGTCACGGAGGCGGTGTCATGTACCAAAGGCATTCCTTTACAGCAAAACTATGCATTCACATGCTCTAGTCCAGGCCTGCCAACCGCTACCAATGTAACCAAATCACCCCACATCTCTGGCCTCAGCTTCTTCAGTGGTCAAAGGAAGAGTCTGATTGAGTTCTCTCTAGACTTCCCTCCAACATCAAGATACCATGACCATAGCTGGGCAATGGTGGCTCATACCTGGGCGCTGGTGAAATCCTACCTAGTCACGAGACTGAGGACGGCGGTTCAAAGCCAGCCTGGGCAGGAAAGTCCATAAGACTCATATCTAATTAACCAGCAAAAAGCCAGAAGTAAACTGTGGCTCAAGTGATAGAGTATCACCTTTGAGTAAAAAAAAAAAAATTAAGGGACAGTTCCCTGGTCCTGAGTTCAAGCTCCAGTACTGGCTGACACACACACACACACACACACACACACACACACACACACACACACACACACACACACACACACACACACAACACACACACACACACACACCCATGATTGCAAAGGAAAATGGATAGAACTGACAGCCTTCCAGAAAGGAATATTTAGGGGAACAACCTCTGAAGATACAAAGACTAGAACTTGCTGGAAGGAGAGGTGATGTGAGGGACAGGTCAAATACACCCAGACAAGGATGTGGAAGGCAAGTGTCGGGAGGGAGATGGCTGGTTGACGTCCCTCTGGGCCAGTGGTTCCCAAAGATAAGGGGCACGTGGCTAGGCAAAATCCACCTTTCCGTGAGGATCCCTTTGGGACTTCTACTGCATGGGGTGTAGGAAGACGCTAGGTCAAGGCCATTTCTGTCCCTGCTGGCCATTTAGGGGACTCAACAGCTGAGTACTGCAAAGGATACAGAGGAGAGGAAGCGATGGCAGGCTACATTCTAGAGTATTCCTGCTACCGGCCAACCCTTATCCTCAGAGGATGCATTCCAAGGCTCCAAACTCTCTGAACTCTAGGCTTTTTCTTATATATACACATCTACAATAAAGTTTAATTTATAAGCTAGGATGAGATTCACAATACCTATTAGTAAACAACAACAATTATGACAATACATTGCAATACCAGTAATGAATGATTGATTTCTGGAACTTCCCATTCAACACTTCTGGACTGCAGTTGACTTTGAGTAACTAAAAGCTTAGGAAAGGGAGCTGGCGGGTGAGGGACCCATGCTCTGGGCTCGGCAAGCGTGACCTCATGGAGTTCTCGTGACCACCTTGTGAGTGACACGTCACTTGCTAGAACTGGAGAGGGTGGTCAGCAATGCCCCAGGAGCACAGGATTGGAGACTGGGCCTTGCCAGCCCCCAGTGCACCTGGCATTCTATGTCTTATGCCAACACTACCAGGACGGTCACACAACTCTTGAGTACACGTCAGTCCACTGAAGTGCATGCTTTGAATGAATGGACAAGCCTTCTGATATGCAAACCATATCTCATCAAAGCCACTGATTGTGTTTGTTTACAAGAAACAGTCTTAAAAGTGAAGGAAGAAAATGAGGAAGGAACAAGAAAAACAGAGAAGTTTGGCTTCTGAAAAAAGCTAAAATAAACTGGGTGCTGGTAGCTCACACCTGTAATCCCAGCTATTCAGGGGGCTGCGATCTGAGGACCAAAGTTTGAAGCCAGCCTGGGCAGGAAAGTCCCAGAAAGTCTTATTTCCAGTTGGCCACAAAGAGTCAGAAGTGGAACCGTGGCTGAAGTAGTAAAGTGCTAACCTTAAACAAAAAAAGCTCAGGGATAGCACCCAGGCTCTGAGCTGAAGTCCCACAAATGCAAAACAAAACAAAAGAAAACATCTGGTTAGAGATAGTCATAACAGTACATATTTCACACTGAAATTCTCTGCTGTCTCATGCTAGTGGGTCATGCCTGTTTACCCGAGCCACTCGAGGCTGAGATCTGAGGCTCATGGTTCAAAGT